GTTATATATTATTAGAAAATTCGTTAGCTGTCTACGGGCACTTTATTTGTACAGTTTACCCACCGGAACAAATTACTTATAAACCATCTCATTAAATCCGGGAACGTACTATATTCATATGTTTCATAAAGTGGATAAAACTCTCAACGACAGGTATACAATTGTGCATTATATTTTCTAGTCAATCACTTCATGCTGAATTAAGCAGTAAAACTATGCGGCGAGCCCATCAACCGCCAAATGGTTAAACGCCATCTCATACAGCACAAGGGTAGAAGAATCTGTGGCACTCACAACCCCAATGGCAGTAACACCTCGATTATGGGGTACCCTGTCACGAAGTGCTAAACAGGGCAAATTTTGTACGGAAAACTGGCAAAGACTCACTTAATAAGCTGCGCGAATACTGTCCCAGCCCAATCTAAACTTTGACTGTTGCTGGGAAAACGTCCAGCTGAAAACTATACTACGATGCTTCTCGCGTTTATTTGGCTTCGAGTTCCAGCCAAAGACCCGATACCACACCCAAAGCGGCTGTTGCAATCGAGGCGATAATAATGAAGATAATTCCATCTGATGGCAATCGAAACAGTTGTGGCTGGCATAGGTTGGCAAGGTGGGAGCCCAGAGAGAATCTGTTCACGATTTTCCCGCAGCCATCCATGCCCACGGCGGAAATCAAAGACGAATCTGGGACCTGCGACCTGATGCCGACAAGAACCCATGCTGGGACGCGTAGAACCATACACAAACATAGCGTTGGCATCCAGTGGACTTCAAGCATACCCGGAGGGCTTGATTCTATTCAACTTCCTTTCCTTACCTCCTACCTCTAAATGCACCTCTGCATAGACAAAGCTGGACCACCCCCAGTGCTCAAGTCGAAACTCTAGGTTATCCATTCGAAATTCTCCTATCTCTAAAGCTTCTCCATCAACTTCCCAACGCCTGACACCACGTATCCCGGTTGCAATCAGTCACTGTTGGCTGCGAGATCCACGCGCTTTTTTCTACTGTTGCTAAAAGCTCAATTAAGACCGCACCTCTTTTTGCTGGTCCAGCACGAAGCACATGGCCAGATAACATTTGATTTTGCTTTTCGAGGTCCTCACGAGCGCAGTACTGCGTTATTGCCCACGAATTCAACAATTGTTACTACACGCTACTAGGGTTGAGATCTTCGAGACAACTGTAGTAGACGGCCGTCTGTGGCCATTTCATACCAGCAGTCTGCAGCGGCATAAACGTCGGGGCTTTCGGAAAGCGCTGCGCTCCACTGGCACTATCTGTTAACCTATGAATTTGGAGACTTCAGAGTCAACTGAAAAGGGAGGGAACGAGGACTAGTGGGAGAGAACGAAAATAGACTGAATGAGAGAGGCAGTTAATATGGTCAAAAGACGGAGAATTCACCTGCTCTGGTAAACAAAGGGGAATTGTATGGGAGCAATTGGAAGCCGTCGGCGTTCGGGCTCATCGCAAACCCCACTGTACGCAGGACCGGGGACTCACTCCGCGTAAACAGACTCTTGCCATCATTCGGCTGAATGCGTCCTTACCTCATTCAGACGTCTTCGTCATCTACTTGATTCGCAACAACAGGATATTGCCTGGAGGGTAGAAAAGCAAACAAAGGTGATAAACTTAGGGAGGGAAAAAGGGGGCAAAGGGAAAGAAAAGTCCTATTGGAGGCAAAGGGCCCTAATGTCAGTTACTCCACGCAGGATTGCAGTAATTATAGGAAATAAAGCATTAGAGGAGGCAAAATGACAGGTAGAAATGTTAAACGCTGATAAGATTCTGATCACCTGTCTGTCCCTGATGATCATACGTTATAGATGACACCAAGTGTTCTGACCGATGCGTCAAGCCTTAAGGAAAGGGCGACAAGCTGCTCTAATTGGGATACAATACAACAGAGTAAGAGCGACTTAAAACGCAACCAGCCTTGCAAATACGCTTAAATAGATACGCTAAAAAAATGAATCCATTTACACTTGCTACTTAAATCTAGCATTCGAAATCCGTCTCCACCATACCAAAAATCACTATAGTTTTAGTGGCTCCAAAAAAAAACCAAAAGTATCATAGACTAAATACTAATTCCTTTTGCTCGAAAAACCATACCTGACACAGTCGAGCCATTTCCTCCTATTGCATTTCCGAGCATTCAAATGAATGCCTATCCTTGCTCGGGTCCTTAGCAAAACACGGTGTGTTGCCTCGGATGGATTTTCTTTTAGGATCACCCAGGATCAGAGCATTCTCATAGTAGTGACGCGAAGAGTGAGTAGGATGCCCGGACGAAGATTTCGCATAGCGAACCACCGCGGAAAAGTATAGAAGGAATTCAAATGTGCGAATAGCACCACTGGGCTTAATACGTTGTTACGTCCTGCTCCTTTTTCGTTTTCTGGTTTGGCGGGTTTCAAGTTCTTCCTATCTCAGGAGAAATGAAAACGCCACGGAAACCGATCTATTTTGCAGTAGACTGCTACCTGGAAACGCAGAGCCTGACAACCGGCTGCTTCGAATCGTTGCAATAATGTGTTTCGTATGTACATGTACGCCGTTCCGCGAGAGGTGTTGATCTTTGCAAGATTTACTAATCGTACAAATGGGAGCTATATTGATACACAAATTTCATATGAAGAGGACAATAATAAGTCTTTTATGTAACCGTTGAATACAGGTTGTGACCATATCATTCGTTGGCAAGACGAACTTAATCCATGGAGTAGTGAGATAATCGGCGTTCGGCCTAAATATAAGCAAATCTTCCTTGTCGTCTTTTCCGCCTGCTTAACGTCCTGAACGATGGGAGATACCAGATAATTAAGGGAAACTGAACAACAACAACAACAAACAAACAAATACAACGACATATCTGCAGGGGGAAAGGTCGTTTGGGAGATTGCTTTAGTAGCAAGGCAGATTTACTCGGCTTGGTGTCTATATCAGTTGGCAAAGGATCGTCTGGCAAAAATGTTATTTTTTCTTCAGTTTATTCCCATTTTTATGCTTTGCTTTCTACGTCGCCTTTTTTCGAGTGGGAGAGTCAAGGCGACCAACGACATGCACACTCTTGTGTTGTGCTTAGAAAACGACAGACGACCACTTGCACCGGGCAAAAGAAGCAATGAGTTCAGGGAGCCCCTGGCAAATGCGACGCTTGCTAAGCACGAACCCCGCGTTTGAATATACGTAAAGCTGCTGCGAGTCTACGGTATGGCTCAGAGAAATAGGAGCCAGCCAGTTAGGAAGTGTCCTGCAGCGAACCTTCGCCATTGCTTTAAGGCAGCTTCAATTCTTACCTGCTTTCCGGTTTACTCCCACCTTTAGCACCTGTCTGAGAGCCTTGGGGTGCAAATTCAATCAGGGCATAGAACATTTGCTATTCGTGTAAAAATACCGTACTAGACGCCTGCTGCACAGAGCACACAGTATTGCGAAATAAAATATATGTGAAGTGTTGGACAGCAGGACTCAGAAGGCGAACTTTGGGGAATATAAGTCCAGAAATTGGCCTCTAACTTAGCTGTGACCAATAGCCAGCTACAAATCTTTCATTACTACGCCCATGTAGAAGATTGTTCAGAGTAAAAATTATGGAAATGAACACTACATTAATAAATTCATCTTATACGTCGACTAAAAAGGAAGAGGAATCTTGTTAAAAGTAATTATTTGTGCAAAAAAAAAAAGTCAAATTTGAGCTCTAGTCGTTTCAGATAGCGTATTGATTATCACAACTATAACAAGCCGGGTTTAAGCGCGGACACAGCCGGGCAACGACACCATTCTGAAATGGGTTTGGCAATTACGGCAAAGGGAAATTATCCTATCAAGCAAAGTTGGCCTGCCGAAACAAAAGAAAAAAAGCAGATTATAGATCGAAGCATAAGTATATGATGCCGGATAATCTGTTCTGTCCTAGTGACCGGTCATTTGAACATTTTTTTTTCGCAAAGCGTTCGCTAGGAATCGAAACTTTATAACTGCAACGGTTCATTAGTAGGGATAGGAAACTGTCTACGACAAGGTACTGGGATACGCAGCATTGATTAGTGAAAAACGGGCTAAAATATTTATAATTTTTTTAAAAATTTCAAATTAAATTAAAAATTAGATTTAAAGTAATGGAAAGTGTGTGAAGGATGTAATAGAAAGTCGAAATTAGGGCAGCAGAATACCAAATCAAGTAAGTTAATGTCAGAATGTAGAAATGCTCTCCTTTTAAACCGATCTGAAGTTGATGGTTTGTCATTGAAGTAAGCTCTGGTGTTGTAGGTAGCTAGGGTAGATAGTTGTAAAAAAAATATTTATATATTATATGAGAAAACAGTGGCAGAAAGTTAACCGCATTTCAAAATGTATCTTCGTTTAGTTGCAATATCAACGAGTGGTCATACTGCTACATCAAGCGAACAGGGCCCCTGCCGAACCGTTTATGCTGAATACTTCAATTGCCACCACTGATTTTCCACAGTTAGATCGGGGAAAAATGTTAAACTAATTAGTCGATACGTAGTGAGCTTGGAGCTGTTTAAAATGCCGAGCTTTTTCTAAGGATCTGATCGCCACCAAAAGTAGTATAAGGAATCTTCGAATAGGGAAATGAAAAACTGTAACTCAGCTCTGATTTTACTGCACTAGATAATAATAAAGAGGCTTACGCTGGCTATCACCCAGCTCATAATCATCAGTAGATTTTTCCTCTTATTGCTTTTCAGCTAGTTTTTTTTTTATTTAAGCTCTCCGAAAAATACGTTTGAAGTTATCCGTGAATAGAAAAATCTATAGGTATCCGTTAGTAATGTAGTTTCAATTGTTTTCCAAAATACAATATTTCGTTATTAAACGTGCGAACAGAATAGTTAATTGCCCGTTCGAGGTATACTAAACGGATGTTTACCAAATTTTGTCCCTTTTAACCTACTGTTTGTTGTCTTATCATTAAAAAAATGAAAGTTGATCAATGATAACAACAAGAGTCACCTTTAAAATTAACATTGTTTTTATTTTCAATGATTTTCTTATCTTTCATTTGTGTGCCACTTCTCTGTTGTTGTTGCTGCAGCCGTTGCTACTGTCGCAGTGGGTTTCTGCGGGGTAAAATGTATACTTTTCACATACAGGCCCATTTCCTTAATGCTAGACAACCCAATGAAATATGCAATTGCTCTAAATTACATCTGTGTTTTGTCGTTCGCTCTCAGCCCCAGACAGAAACTACCAAGCGATCGCTGTTCATGCATATAGCTGGCCCCCGTGTCTCGTGCGGAAGGTTCCTCTGTCTGCCCTGTCACCACTCGACTCTCCATCGTCACATAGCCTTTCTAGTAGGTTCACCTTTCATTTTTAGCATAAAGGTTCAATCCTCCACCGGGCAAATGTAATAGAAAATGGACATCGCCACCTGTGTAATCTTAGCATTCATCAGTGACTTTGTTTTTAAAGGAAAAAGAAAAAAAAAAAAAAAAAAACGCTTAACGACATTTATAAGACTAGTTATTGTTTCTATCTTATTCAAGCCATTGCTCGTACTTGTGAATATAAGATCGAATTCAGTCTATCGTGTCCGAGATACTATTAGCCAAAGCGTCTGGAAAAACGGAACAAGGTGTATGACACTTGGAACGCGCATGCTGTACGCTTACCGCCATCACTTAGCGTCCCGCTCGATCGGATTTTATCATTAGTATGTTAATAGATACTGTTGCATCAATCATAACCGTTCTGTCGTCGCTATTCGCTTGTTGCCATATATGTTTCTGCGATCAGAATTATCAGTGATTATTTCTATTCATATCTACATTGGTTTGTGGGTAACCTAGAGCAATTTTGCAACTTTAAAAATTGGCCATTTTCGGCTCGGCGTCCGTTGGAACCGCTTTCTATATTAACTAAACTAAGGATCAGTCCTGTCCTTGAACGAACAGGTACAACAGAATATATTATTATTCTCTTGCTACATTTGCTGATCTCCTTGTTACAGTCTTATTTCTACATAATAATGTCATTCATCACAATTTCGTTTGCCCCATTCATTCCTCTACATGCTTCTGTCGCCTCTCCTGCAACATGGTCGGCTTTATTGTTTCACGTCAACTTTGCAATAACACCAAGACTGATAACTAACATTATAATTAGCGTAGTCGTTATAATGGGAGTAATGGTAATCGTCTGTTACGCGAAAATCAATACTTTCTACGCGTCTATTGAATGGCTGGTGGACAATGGCATGGCCATTGAGCGTTATCATTATGTATAGAGGGCGTATATTTCAATTAAAATAGTTGCTCGTTTCGATAGGGGGCGGGAGGCGTAACTGGAAGGTAAGCGCACACAATCCATACACGCATGTCCGTTGCGCGTCTATGAAGCTCAGAAGCAAATAAACAATACAAATCGAAATTTCTACACAATATTTAAACTCTGTTCTGCTACTGTTCATAATAATGATTATTATCTATTTCATATATCAGCTCTAATTTGCTTTGTCTGCGTTTATGTCGCTATAATGTATATGTGTTTCTGCGTAATCGCTGCGGTCTGCCTGCTGATGTTTGTCTGCATATATCTGCCGGCCTTGTCATCACCAAAAACGAACGTTGGAAACTCAACCATCATGATGACCCTTCTTTCCGCGTAGAATTCATAAAATCGAAGCCCTTACCGGAATATGTGTTCTCATAATATATTTGTTCTTTGTATTATCTTCACACTTCGCACATTCGGTGTTTCTAGGTTCTTCTGTACTTGCGACTGTTGGCCGCTTGTCGCAGCATTTTACAAGGAACACCCCCATCCTTAACCATTAGCGTCGCCAGTATGCGTCTTATGAGTGTGTTATTCATTTTGTTACACACATACACACATATATATACCTATAGTAATGTATTATTGGCTGTCGTCGCGGCAACCCGCTTGTGCCGCTTCAAGGTATGCTTCCGGGGGCGCAGGTAAAACAGTGCCCCCCTAATAACTTAATGGGTAACGTATTTGCCTGCTAATTTTAGGGACACGTCGCACCCGAGCATAAACTGCGTTTCGATGGAATGCCTAACGGCGCTGCCGGACGTGAAGTGGAATAAAACTAGGGGAGAAACGTTTCTACTGATTTGGTCCGTCCTGGAGCTTTCCGATCTCTGTCTGGCCATTCCATCTGTGGGGACTGATAGTCAGAAACTATTTTCGAAGAACTCGTTTTGACAGTGGCCTTTGTCGATTAAAGCTAAAGGCGGCTAGAGGAACGAGCTCCTACGTTCTTCGCTCTGGCATGCTGGCATTTGATGGGTGTGATTGATCCCCCAATTGAACATATCGGTCCTCATCATAGCGCTCGCAGTGTTTAATATTAAAGGATAACTGATCCTGCTGCAGTCCTAACAATAATCTACATTCATTGCACTAGATACATTGCCATATCAGCTAACTGCTACTCTCATAGGAACTCAATGTGCGATCTTGAAAATCATTGCTCGTGAAAAGCTACTTACAGCTTTGTGTTGATATACGGTAACGTAGTGATAAGTGTGGCCTGTCCAAAGCTTGCTGCATATATATATATATATAACTCGTAAAATGCTGGAAGAACATCTCCACTAGGTCTATTGTCCGCTCTATGCGCCTAGCTCAAACGTTCGATCTTCTTAAATTAATCTAACACATACAAATTAAATATATCGATTCATTTAATATCATCAGCTGTCCTAACATACGTAGCTGCGAGTACATTTTAGCGCGTCTTAATGGCCAGCGCGCATCGTCCTGTGGAAATTTAGCAAAAAAATATTTGGCTAGAAATCAACTTCACTATTTCACCTCCGATGCCAACCACCATCTGGGTTCTTGTTGTTGAAAACGTCGAACAAACACAAAGTATTTTCTCGTTTGTAATGATCATTCGTACCGCTACTCTATTGCCCTTATACAACAAGACGGGCCCCTAAATTGAATTTGTCTGTCTACATCCTTGCATTCGACTTTTATAATATGTTTAACCAATTCCAGTGGCGGTGGGCAGTTACGTCATACTGCCAGCTGATAACGACTGTAAACTGGCGCCGTCAGACGCTGATGGTAGTACCCGGTATTTCCCCATACGACAACTGACCCCACTCAGGAATCGTTCGAGGACGTTTGGTGACGAGCTCTCGGCCGTTAACTAGGCAAAGGCCCGCGAAATCATACAAATTGGCCATACTAAGATGAAGACTTAATTTGTGAGATGTTTACCCGCGCCCAGCATCCTCTACATCAACTTGAACTTCGTCCGTCAAATAAGCTTCTATTTTTATGTACAAAGTTGCTTGCTGTCCCAACGCCAAAGATCTGACGCCTGGCTGCTGCTGCTTAGACCTGATTCAACTGCATTAGACGAATAAATAAGATTATGTAGCTAGATTAGATCCGCGTCGGATGGTATGAGCATAATCTGCGTGAAACCTTCCAAGGACAGATACTATTCCACCTCGACTAGACACAGGTGTAGCGGTGCAATTCTAGTGACAGACAATATGATCATTTCTCTATGTCGATTGCCGAATCGAATGTTACTGAGGGAAGTCGGACACAAAATGTCCTTTTTTTGGTTTTTTTACTCAACCGTAATCTGTTTGTCGAATGGTTAGGAATCCAACGTCGACTGCTACCATCCTGTCCATGATCATCATTATCGGCATCTTTTTTAGAGCACATGTCAGCTCAGGTCCGACTATGAGACGCACAACTGTAGTAATGTTCGTATTGAGGCGTTCCTCTAAGCAGGTCCAGTGTAACTGATGAGTACAAATTACCTGATTTCTATCAGGCTCAATCAATCAACCACTTAACATAATCACCCTATCCTAATAATCAGTTACCTTATTATAACAGAAACGAAAAACGTTTGAAGGATATTTTCCATCATTATCAATCGCTATTAGTTTACATTATCCTCAGATCGAGTTAAAGAGCACGCCGCGCCAGTGACGAATTAACAGGATGAGATCTCCGGCGTTCCTCACTTTAAAAATTAGCGTTACTTGTCGCTATTTGACAGGGATAAGCGACATGCGAACACGAATGGAGTATTGGCCTTTGAGGAGGGCTTCATGCGTGCGTACGTACGAACTACACACACGGCATACGCTTTCTCATTGCTTTTTCCCGTCTTATCGTAAAAAGCCTCGAAAGAGCATTTCAAGAATGGCGAAGATATCGTTATATTAACATTTTTGCTAATTAAGCATCTCCCCTATTGACTTGCCGCCGACTTAGGCTGACGTTTGCAGCGTTCGGTGCAGAGCTGTCACAAAGCCTAAGCCTAAACGAGCGAAACACTTTCTCTTCTTGGTAAATTCGTTTCTTCGCCAGGGCAGACGGTTGTGATTTACCCACAACATGAGTCAACTTTGCAGTTAAGCCTAGGGGTCCGCATAGCGTAACGGTCCTGAACAAATCAGATGTCATCCTTTTACCAAGTTATACGAATAACAATGAAGAAGACGCAAATCGTGTCATTGCACTACTAGAATGCTATTAGGTGTACAAACGGTTCTGGTTTCTAATTGTTCAATTATTACCAGGCGTTATTTAACCAATTCGTCGAAGGTTTACAGTTGAGCTTGCGAGAGTGGACGAAGCTGCCCAGCGTCAGCTTCAGCGCCTAATTGTGTCTCTCCTGTTCTTGGTTATCCTGCCGCCTTATTGTAATGCAAAGGTGATCGATCGATGTAAATTCTATAACTTAAATTTTCCTCCTTCCACCTTTTTCGGCAAGCGCAAGCCTATCGTCTTCTCTTCGTTGTGCCGTCATGTCCGCTGATTTTTTCGTAACACCTCAACGCTCACTCTATGCAACCGTTTACTGTTTCGTCTTGTCTCAGTATTGCTTACCATTCACAATCCATGATCTATCACCGGTCCCTATATTAACTCCGTTACTATTTTGGCCCTCGTCATTAGGAATCCGGATCACTCAGCTTGTTGTTTCTTTCTTGCCCCGTCTAGCTCATTCGCACTCGGTAGCTGGGAACATCTCAGGCAGCTTGATGTCATTACCTCATTTACTATAGTTTTTGCTTGTTTTCAGTTCCTATTTGCTGGCTGTCCATTCCTCCGTCTATTAGTATTGGTTGTAGCAGTTGACGATCAACAAAATAACACGTTAAACTCAACCAATATAAATTCAATAACCTGGTTCTGTTGAATAGTATCCATTGCGATATTTCGGCTCATACGATCAGCTGATGAAAGAAGAGTCGGCCCGAAGACGATCGCTAGGTTTTGAATGTGCATCCGATTCTCCGAACTGTATTCTTTCACTCGAAGGAGATGTTCGAGAAGGAAACGCAACGTGTCACGATTTACTGTTGGTAATTCGCTAAGAATGGCCTCAAAGGCAGCCAGCTTTGGTGACCTCTCTTTGATTTGGGTGGCCTCAAGCAGACGGTCGAACAGCGCGTACGTCAATAGGGGTTCCCTCATTTCGCGGAAGAACATCTTGAGCGCCCCCGTGAGCACGTGCACATCTTCCTCCTTGTCCAAGACGCTGTAGTCATCCATGTTGATGCTGAACCGGACTTTCTGTACCTGGGATAAGTTACCGGACGCCCGATAGATGCCATCAGCTCGCATGTCCTTGTTTTCAATAGCGTCAATGCAACGCACTACGAATCGCGGCACAGTTGAATGCTCCCGCGCGCAGAGCGACGCTAGCGTGCAGCCGAAAACTAACTCATCCTTGATAATTCCTATAGGTACGAAGATATATATTGGGCGAAACGAAGCGGAGAACGAAACAAAAGCAGGCATTTTAGAGGTGTAAACAACAATTTTTCCCAGAAGATTAAGGCGTAGTTTGACGGCGCTAGCGCAACTGTGCTTCTAAGGTATTAACGTGATACATGGACTTCAGCTATGGCTAATGCGCAATCGCTCTATATATATATATATATATATATATATATAAAGTCTCGCAAAAGGGTCAGACGATTTTTTATAATTGTCAGTGTCGTTGTGTTCTTCCTTATATCGTGTACATATTTGGGTATTACTAATTATATATGGATAATTTATACAATGTGGGTACGCAATGTTCAAAAATAAAGCGGGATATCGGCCGCACCTTTTTCTTTGAGCATTTCGAGGGTAGGTCGTCTCATGAAGAACATCTTGAGTCGGTCGCCAATTCTTCGCTTGCGTTCGTTGGGACTCAGCGTGACGAGGTCCGTTGTCGAGCCCTTTTCCGATCCCGTCGCTGTCTCAAGCGGTCCCAGCCCCCCCGGGCTGGCAGCCACCAACCCATGGCTCGTGCCCGAGCTCCCGGGTAGAGTATTGGACGGCCTAAGTAGCTTGATCGATTTTGATCGTAACACCTTCTTCGACCGTTTCAATGTATCTTTGGTTAGGGTGCCTGTCGACAATAGCGAAAACAGTGTACAACACACCATTGATATACGATATTGTGCATCGTTAGAGGAATTCCATACACAGTATGGCTAATCAGGGCCACGGATTCTATGTGTAATGTACAATAAATATTAATGTTATATAAATTGGTATCGTGATACGTCAGATTCGCATTGGAATGCACAAATCCAATGCAGCTCTCTGTAGTGTAACTTCAATCGGACGCTTCTCGGTAGCTCATAATAAAGGAACAGTTGGTAATCTTCCTGTTTCTTCACACAAGATAAAAGTAACAATAATAATCGGTTTAATTTCTATATTAATCAACGCGGTTTTTCTGACAGTGTATCTCTAGCCAAATCTAATGATTTGAATATCTCTCCTAACACAGCACTCACCAACAGAGAAGTCCCTGGCGACAGTATTATGGTGCGGAGCGGAGCTTATACCCCCCAAGCGGGCATTGGACTCTCGACCCTGTGGCGTCCTAGCCTTTAGGATCTCGCCCGAGATATCATAGCCGAGCGGTAGGTGGATGATACATCCTTTGATGGACTCGAACCACTCTTTCGACGTTTGGACGTTGTCGTCCTGGAAGAGCACCTTTTGCCCCTGTATAGTGCTCACCTGAAAGCAATTTTTACGCTTCGACTTGTCGGGGCACCACTCGATGAGCGCGCCGGGGAGCGCAAGCCGACTCAGGGCACCTTCGCCAGGGGTCGGCTGCTGCCCGCTCTGTGCGTCCTTGTATACAAACAGATTCTTGGACGTCAGCACCAGGAAACAGCACACCCAGTTCTTTTTCTGCACTTTTTTACCAGCTTTAACTAGATCCGCTTTGTTCAGTGAACCCTGATGAATTCAAGAAGACAAACGATAACGATCAGAAAAAGCCGACTGAGATATCTGTTTGTCCTGCAAAAATTTTAGGTATTTTTTTTCTTTTTTCCTCAACGCGTGCTTCAGTGGGGATCTATAGAAAGGTTAAATTCTAGGCTCAATCCGTCATAGGTCAAGACAAGTTTCGCATGCAAAATGGGCAAGTGCAGAAGAAATACAAAGCATATAAGAAATTACTAGTACGACCAACAAACTATCTATTCGGACAAACGGGCCCGTAAGGAAAGGATCAGTTCTGACTGTTCATAGCCAAATTCTGTTTCTGTAAGTGTTTGCTTCGCAACAGTAAATACACCTTAGCAGCATGTCATAACAATCATTTCTGCATTTTGAACTGAGATCAGGTCTGATCAACAGATATAATCAATACATGATCACTATTTTACCTAAGCGTCTCGGCTTTTATGGATTACGAGCACGAAGCAATCATTATTCAAGTTTAGACCATTATGTGTCTGCACCAAATTGCCAAGACGAAAACGCGTTAGTTTTCCAATATGAAAAGTATATTAATGATATAATTACATCTACGGTACATTACGGGTAGCGATAGGCAGTATAAATTCAATAAACTGCAATATGATTTTATGCAAGATGGCGTTCTGGGTGGAACTGGCGTGTAACTAAACGACGCACCCTTTGCCCCTATTCTCTAAAAAATTGTAAAGAGACCACTGTACAACAATGCCATAAAATCACTAGTAACTGTACTCGTAATCGTATTATACCGTACTGAAGGGTTGTTTTTTGTTTTTGTCGACGCCGCCATTTTGTTTGGTGTTATTTGTCTCCTGACATGAGCGATGTTAGATGTTAAACTCGCACTGCCAGCTCTATAGACTTGTCGTCACTTATGTGAATCCTACGCGGAAGGTGTTGCTACGATAGGCCACGTCAACAAAATGTTATTGCCGCTAAAATAACGTGAGCGATTGGCAGTAATGTAGTTTTCCTAATACGCCCTTCATGGCTGTATGTAGTTTTCTGCCGGGCAGGGCTATTTCGAAATTGAGGCCAATGGCATAATAATTTTTTTGAGAATTAATAGGGAAAATGATCGAAAAAACTTCACGAACACTAATAATAACTAAGCTGCAAATAAACAAACACTTGTCTCAGAGTCACCCTCCACTGGAGCCATCTCGAATCTGAAACTTTGAAACCTTGCAAACTTTAAAGCAACACGACTTATCTTTAATATAGCCTCTTTTTTTTTGTTTTCATTCAGGTCTCAGAGTTCGCATTATAAGTGCTAGAAGTACAATGGATATTTTTTAGTTGAGGTCGATACCGCATTCAGGGGCAGATTTAGAAGATCATTGATCTGGCTAGTGTCGTCCTTTGAACATTAGATTGTGTATATGCGAGCATTATTTCGCGTAAGTAACTAAGATGGTTGTAAGCGTGAAAAAATAGGACCAACGTCTTTTAACGTGATACCATATATTGGCTAACGATTATATTATGACTTTTCGATATTGACAAACGGCATAGTAAACAAGAAGTATGGCCGAAATTATGGTTTGATTTGCAGCCATAAAGAAAAAAAAGTTACAAACAAACATTGACCTGTTCGTTTTTTTTTTTCACAAATAATCATTTAGCAAATGCAGTTCTCAACAGTAAGCACAATGTCAGATTTTAGCTTGCTTAGCATGAGGAACTTGTCAGAATCGAGCCCTTTTACAAGATGGAACGAATTTAGTCAGAAGTAAGGCAATTTTGACAACTGCAAATTTCGAATTTGGCCTTAACATTCTTTTCTTATATCGATAGCGAGATTACGTTATTTAGCAGAACTTCAGAAGTTCTGTCATACTCTTTTCTACGTCCACTAGAGTTTTATCGCTCGAAAAAACTGTCGTTTAGTCAGTATTCAAGACGACCCTTGAATGACGTCTCTCTGATCGACCAATTGGAAATTATAGTAGGGATAAGGCTCAGCCTGCACGCGCATAGTGATCTAATCGGAAGAAAGCGAGGTAGAATACACACGGCTATAACGTAGGACTAAAGCACAACTCAAGTAATTCAAGGTGAAACGTACTGCCTGGCTAGATTAAAAAAGCCCAAGCAAAACTATAACCGCAGGCTATGAGATTAACTGTGCATCATAGCTATTTTTTACCTAGTGACTAGAACAAGCTTTCAGATGACATAGTTGGGCCCAGCACCACTATTCTGATAACTGCTAGCCGTTCCGGTTCGACCCATCCGTTTGTAAAGCACCAAACGATTCTAAATGGACTCACCTGGGTCGGCCTTCGATTCGAGTCCAAATCGGGCCCACCAAAAACAACTTGACCGATAATTGAAGCTTAGACCGTCCACCATTTACTCCACAACTTACCTGACGTTTTACCGTCTCCTCGATATCGGCTAGATTCGGAAGCTTCTGTACACTGAGAACGTGTACGCCCAGCTGCGTTCCCTGTTCGCCATTCGTATTCGTAACCCCAGTCGGAAGTCTGCTTATAATATCGACTGATTTCGAACGCCAATCAAGCTCAGACAGGATCATCGACCGAGTCTTAAGCGAACGCAACGAATTCTGCAATAGAAATCACGAATAATGCAGATACGGATAGAACATCGTCAATTAGTACCCGTGGCCTTTCATACGCACTCTGAACTGTAACAGTTTTTCAACGGTGTTCAATATTAACAGAACGCTAACTAACTAGCCAGGCAGTGACTTACAACATAAGCAATGGTTGCAATAAAGCACTGCGATCTAGACAACGATAGACGGTTAACAGTGGTACCCTATTACCCACTTGAAACTCTACGATGTGTTCGGGATTCTTCCCCGTACATCGAGCCGGCAACCCTTCTCGGCGACGTTTCGATATGGCATTCCAAGATTTCCGTAACCGACCAAGCATCTTGAAACATCTGCTTGGCCAGTTGTTGCCACCTACATTGTTTGTAACCGAAGGGCAATCGGATATAATGATACAACGACATGGGCTCAGGGTCCATGAAACTGGTCCAAGACCTCCACAACAAGTAAAGGCGCGACCGCTATTCACATGGTTCAGCCGACATACTTACAAAGTGCAGAAAAAATAACGTATATATATATATATAAATGTATGTAAATATATGTATTCGTTGGGAGACGAAACATATACAGTAGATGTAGGTACAGTTTATTGATTCTGATAGAGAAACCGTCAAATGTGTAAACGAACACGCGAACGTTGCGTACAGACTGGTCAGACGTACGCAGTGACACTGCACTTCTGCACTCTAGTACACCTTTGATTTTATAAATGCGCTTGTTTGGCACCGTCCAGTAGATGATAGTATTTGTTTTCCTAATCGGCCACATCACTTTTTCTAACACATTCTCTCCTACCGGCATCAAACGATCTTCTCGTGTGACTTTCTAGAACATGGGCGCACTTAGCCATTGGGGCTCTATGGCGGTTAGTGATCAGGCTCAAACATAGCGTGCGCTCCGCGGCGCATAAGGGGTTCTTTTCAATAGGGTGAGGAAGGGGTGGGGGGCAGGGGGGGGGATCAGATAGGCAGCCTGCACAATTTCTGGGCGTCGTCCGTCGACCTGTATAGCCCCTGCACCAACAGGGATGTTTTCGTCACCATGGTACACTCAAACACATCAACACAGTTCACCACGCTAATTTCACACAGTGAAACGTCTGTCAGATCGTGCTTAGAGTAAAACAACACAACATTAATAGCTCGACACTAAAAAGCACCTGTCGAATAGTGCCTAGCAATTTACAGTTAGAAATAGGCGATCCTAATGGCGTCTGGAGTGATGGAGTTTCCCAACGATTTGCGAGCGTCAGCTGCCGATAGTCACTCCGTTTAATAACGTCATCGCCCGCTGCCGCCACAAACCGCTGATCATACCGGTTAACGTGGCGCACTCAGTCGTCGTCAATGCTTTCAGTACATCCACATGGAACCCGCACACGCCGTACCCATCAGCGAAATCGAGTGGAGACGGAAACGACGGGAAAGCTAGATTTTTTACGAGCAGGCAGCAAAATCGACACTGACTGACAGCGGGTACCGCTGAGCTGCATACACTATAGTGCAATCACAGCCGCCCTAGAATAGATAATCCAGAGTCGGCTGATCGGCGAAAACTGTCACCCACTATGAAACCTAGCGGATAGCGACTGTAATAGCATTGGCCGTCAGCAAACGCTCACGCGAACTTCGGTAGCACCACAGTAGCACCAACAGCGGTTAAAACTACGTTAGTATCATCCTGCGGTAGGCAATCATAATGTTTCGAGTCTTATGTCTTGCTATCATCGAGGTTAAGAGACGCATGAATGAACTCCAAACACATAATGATCGTCCTGAAGAAAGTGCGTCCTCTCGATTGTACTTTGAAATGCTGAAAACACCGTGCACAAGTACGCGGACACCAGCGTCAAACAGCAGTCGCCTCATTGCGTCCGGAGGGGGGCAAATGTTAATATCTTAATTATATCGTTAGATTTGATCATCAGTACATCATAGTCTGGCGAACTACTCGAGATGTGGCCCACTATGGTATTGGAGTAGAACAGTTAACTGATCTGATACCGAGGAACAGTTCCGTAGAATGGACTGGAAATAGGTTTTGGTGAAGTCTCGCGTTGCCTACATATATCCAGCCTAAATTTACCTAATTAAATGCTGATTTTCAGAAGTCTTTGACGATCAATTCTTGTTTAAGGACAGGAGTAGGCTCCAGCTATTGAAGCAATCTTAGCAAGCATAGTTAATACGACAGACATTTGCTGCGCATACAGAGTAATGTCTCGGTTCCAAGTTTCGGTGAGTGTGAGTGGGTGAAAAATACCAAAAATCAACTAATCATAAGAATTAACTATCTATGGTAAAAATGGCTTACAAGATGGGTACGGTGATAGTTTAGCGAAAACCTATATTTCTCTTATAATCACAGAGCATCTATTATAATCAAAATGTGTCAAACGGTCTCAGCGAATATTTCTATATACTGAAATTTCTATCCTCTTCTAAATAGAAGAAGCCTCCAGCTATTGTCGCCAAACGTTAACCAGAACTTTACTACTTTTTCATTGCCAAGATACCCAGCATACCTTTGACAGTACGTAATCTGTTTATATAAATCTCAAACGTTATATAAATGAACAGCTAGTCCACCGTGTTGGCGGTATTTACATCATGGTATTGCCTCGAAAACGAAGGATTCTGTTTCTGCAAGTAGCCTTAGGTCAGCCAACCCGCCCCCGTAACGTTATGTGGGTATTCAATGCACAATAACTTAGCTTATACGAGATGGCGAATTGCTCCACAAGCACTACGTTTCGTTATCCTAACAAATAGGTTCAGCTACAGCGATATATATTTCCTGCCCCTCTCTCTATATAACCACGTGCTCTTCCATTACCTGCGGGGTATTTCCTTCTCCATCGACCTCTCCTCCCGATGCCACTTGTTTCTGTTGTTGTTGCTGATGGTGGATCAAAATCTGCTGGCGTTGCTGGTGAAGTGCTTTATTGGCCCGCTGCTGAGCTGCATCCATCGCTGCAATGTTTGAATTGCTGAAGGACGAGGTCACCTGGTGACCGGAACCGCGGCCGATAGTGCCAACGCCTTTCGGTAAGCCTGGACCTGATCCACCCGTTGGAAGGGTTTTCGTCCGTAGGATTGTGGCGCCACTCGGTTCTGACTCGTTGTGTCGAAGGACTGTTTTCGAGCACTCATCCTCAAGCTGCTTCTGTGTGAGTGATCACACCGACGACATAAACGAAGATGAAGGTCCGGTGAATACATGACACGGATCGAAAGGGAATAAAGAAATGACCAACGAAAAAAAATTGTACATTATAACAAAACAACTATATCGTATATAGTATTATAATTATCTAAAATGTGGGTCAGTAAGAACGCGCATGACTCTAGCTGACTAAATATATAGCACACGATACAAACTGTGCTAACTGTTATTATAGGTTATCCATTTAGTGACCTTACAATGTTACCATAGTACTACTAAATTACAGTTATTTTCATTGAGCAGAAATTAAGGAGGGCAATAAAATGTGACGGAACGGCTCAAGATAAGAATGCGTTCTGCTCTTTGTTAGAAGCTATCAGCATATAAACATTGTATACCTACGAAAACATAATGCGATAAGAAAATCGTGTGGATCAAGCAGCGCTATGGCAAGGTTTGTTAGCACGTTGAGAGAACGTGTACATAAGGATTTAACTGAAGATTGCCTCTCGTCATTTCGATATACATTTTGATGATAAATGAGAACAAAAATGGCCTCTAGAACGTTCCTCAAATGTTCCGCTGACGTTCACCCGACGCAATCGACTCTTTGATAAGAAGAGAATCACCCACAAAATTTTATGTCTTCTCCGTACGAACTACGACCGTCGTCCACTCCTACGCGACACGTCAGTGCTTTGCAAACAAAAAAATTCCCCGGAAAAAAAGAGCGGGCTAAAACAAGAATTCGGTGATACGGACCTTATTTAGGCACTATTAGTTAAACCTGTTACAACTACTTTAATTTAGAATAGATGAACTACTTGAAAAGTGATGTTTCGGCTTGCGGTTAAAAGGTTTCAACCAACTGTCAGGGCTGTGGTCAAACGAGAAGAAAAAAACGGCCGAAATCAATGGTGCAAGCAACGATCAGACGTCGGATCAAACACCCCGCTCTATCAGTTACTCTATAGCTTTTCTAGTTATCATAGCTTTTATTATGCTGCGACACTTCGACCGGGCAAAGCTATCGACTACGACTTGTCAACGTTCGCGCTATCGGCCGTTTCTCCAGATCATCTGCTCAGATATAAGACGATATGTATCGCTCCTATTACGGCCGCATCAATCGGGCGTTGCAACTAGAGGTCGACGTAATCCGTGGTGAAATCAGTACCTTTATCACTGCTCTGTTCATATATGGAACAACATCGTTTAATACGAAAGATGGACATCTATAGTCAGAGGTAAAACTGTTGTTAATAATAACAACATAGGCTATATAACATATGCTGTACTGGGACATAAACGCTTTTTCCTAGAAGGTAGCGCACAGCTGGATCGAAGCGTCTTATATATATATATTCCGCATGATTATATAGACTAATAGTACCAGCTTAAATTAGATGGATGGATGTAATTATCAATCAGCTCTCTGAATGTTTCGGAGACCTCAACAGCTCTTAGCATCATATCCAGAGCAGGTATAATGAAACGGGTCAATCTTGTCGGTAATAAGCACGCACATAGGCCGTTATAGACGCTATACGCCGGCCTACAGTTAGTATCAATCAGCTGCGAGGTTATCTCTATCAGCGAGGTCCTAGTTGCACGTCTACAATTTAGACACCAACTATATTGGCTGAGTTCAGTGGCAGTAACGGCCATTCACTAATAATAATAATAAAAATAGTAAATAAAAGTTTGACCGTTCAATACGCAGCCAACAGCGTTGATAAGGGTTCAACGGTCAACATAGACGACGTACTCTATGGGAAATTTGTTAATTATCTTAGAAAAATTCGCGGTTGAACATATGGAACGGAGCGGGGCACTAGAGAAGACCATAGTTGTATGTTACAGTTCAGCGGATCGGTGGGCAGGGCAACGGATTAAGCTGTTTATACTACCGGTTCGGCCAATGACGTGTTCGACTTTTATCTATTACGATAATTTCCTAAACTGAAATTATATACGATACAAAAAGCTCGGCTGAGTTTAGCCTGATTTCAGCCTTTTTTCGATTTAAGCGACGCTGTTTTTGCTTGCTTGGCGAAAAATTATAACAGCTATGCACCTGAAGATGCGTTGATTGAATGAAATGGAAAACCTAGTCGGACTATGTACATGCTGAAATTCCATTTACGTGGCCATCGCTACTTCGAAGCTACTACGAAATGCTCCAAAAATATCAGATTTTTCAACAGCCACGTTGTCTCTCAGGTATGTATTGGAAGATTTGTATTTTTTTAATTTGTATTAAGTATGTACAAAATACATAGCTACTCCTGGCGATCAACAAACTTTGGTTAGTTTCATACATCATTGCTGTGTTACGCTGTGCCCAATATAATTAGTTATATATATATATATAATTAATAATTATAGCATTGATGTGAATTTAATCGACGTCACAGAGAACTCTTCCTCGCTTTCACATAGCCAGCATTAACGAAATTCAGCCACGAGGTCTATGAGCGTCCCTGGTCCATTACGTCTTTATTGATTTGGTGCTTCACTATAAATACGGTAAACGAAGCCCATGGAATCAATTGATTTTGCATCCTAGTTGATCGAATATCTGTTTACTCTATATCTGCCCCTAAAACATTCTTTGGTAACAGTAGAAAACGTCTACGTCACAACAACCGCATGTTTGTTAACTAGGCAAAATTCAGCAATACCCGTCAGATTGTTGGCTGCTGAAGTAATATCATTATGAGCGAACGATACCAGAACCTCGCTTCTTCCTTTTCGTTTTCATTTAAAAGCAAGCCACTACAATGTTTTTATGTCTACAATTAGATCTACCGGCTGTATAGAGTTCTTGTCCCCTTTATGGCGGAAATGGGCTAGTTCGACAGCTTTGTAAAGACCTGCATCAGTAAATCCAAACGGATTTCGTCTTTCCGGCGCGTCCGATTTTTTAGCACAGAGTTCACACGTTACAAGCTACAACGGACCCGCAAACGCACGTAAATGGTCCGTACTTCTACAATATCTAGGCACAGGGCAAATTCTAAAGCCCTCGTTTAGCCTATCTACATCAAACATGGTCGCGAAGCAGCCAAGCGATCAAATTCTGTGCTACAGCTAACGGCTGTTACTGGCCATCGGCTTTGTCGCCCGACTTCAACGAAGCGCGTCGCTTCACAAATGAACGGAAATACATTAATGAAAAATGCCTACTAACGATAAAAAACTGGTACACACACAATGCTCACAGAGTGCCGGCAATAGGTACAAAACCGCTTGGAAAACCGAACGATACCAGTAGGAGCAGTGGCTAGAAAATCATTCCCCTGAATGTGAAGCCCCCGCCCGTAGCAATAGCGAACTATCATAGATATGGCACTAATGTTGATTATGATCGTCACTCGCCTTTCGCCGTAGCGGAGGTCGTGGAGCCACCTGGCAATAGACAGGGGCAATTTCCAGAGTTGTTGTGACCGTTGCAGAAGTAGTTGTAGTAGTGAATATTGTCAACGGGTTAGTTAATAAGTTCAGAGATTAGTAATGCAATTAGAAGTTTGTGATAATAACAATGAACGAGTGAGGTCATGTTTGACCTTGCTAAGATTGTCAGTGAGTAACAAGCTCGAATTTTCTAATAATTATTAATAGTGAATTATCTAATAAAATAGCTCTATAAAGTTAAAAAAAAAAAAAAAATATATATATATATATATATATATATATGTATACACATAAATGCTAACAATTAAACGTACTTCTATTATAAGAGTGTTGGTGCTCTTTGAAGATTTTTTCCATCTATGCATTGCTACATTATAATAAATTGAAGCTTTGATTTGCGTGCAATTTGAAGCATTTATATACATATATAATATATAAATGCTTCAAATGTTAAGATTAGTTCATTTTCTATCGTATGAGCGTCATGAAAATGCTAGAACACAAAAAAATTCGTCCGCTTATTCTATGGGGCCTTCTGGACAGATCCGACCTGCTAACACAGTTCAGGGACTACGCACCAAAAGTGCTGAAATAAAATCGAGCCTAAGCCTTTCTTAGTATATGTGCGTGAGGCCCAAGGTGTGTCACATGCTCAATCTCAAAAAGGCAAACTATTAATAAATCACTACGACTAAATATCTCTACTATAATATTTATTTATATATCGACGTTGTTATATCATAGTGGCAAACATCTTGTAGGAACTTGCACTTTTCCTTCAAACCCGATTTTGACCCCTGTTTACCCAGTCACGTTTCCATAGCTTATTATATTTACGATGGTCGCTTGTTTTCTTCTTTGATAAACTTACCTTCGTCCGTTGAGGGGGACAGGGGGTGATTTTGGGCAATTCCCAGGCTGTCCGTTGGGTGCCCTCTTGATAGAAATATACCCGCCCATCAATATCCTGGCTAGTGCACCATCTTTCGTCATTTAGCTCGTTTATGAAATATAGCGACCCGCTGATATCATCATACACCTTGCGATGATGAAGGGTGCAACGATAGTCGAAGCCAATGACGCGAACGCGCGTACGTCAGTAGTCGATCAGCGAAGAAACGATGAAAAAGCAGCCGCATAGAACGTCCATAGAAGACCGACAATGCCAATCAAATCGTGTTAATAAAAGTCGGACCAACCAACAACGAAGAAAAAGGCATAATACAGCTTCGTATAGTCGATACGAGTCCATTGTAAACGAACTGCGGAACGCTCGGATCAACCGTTCAGTCCGATAGGGCCTAAGAATGAACCGTTACTCCGTTATTCACTATGGGGATTTTGTCTTTGTGTAAAGTTAGACAACAAGTTTAAACGGTCACTTTCGATAGCCACAATGTAGGTCTAGTAAAAATTCGTGAATCGTGAATAAGAAAACGCCACCTAACTAACGATAGACTACCTGTAACAATATTAATATTTGTTGTTATTATTATTGCGGTGAAGTTGAAGAAAAAACATTTCGAGTAATTTAATGGGGCCCGTTTTTTGAGACATAATGATTTCTTTTAGGATTTACACCGCAGTAGCAAGGATACGCTTGACACAGACTTTTTTTTAGCTGACTTTCAACGTTGACTAAGAAAAAACACGACTCATTTTAGGTGTCGTTTGAAAAAGAACATCGTCGTCTAGGCAACCAACACAACTTCCTCTTAGGCAGAAACTGAATTTAATAAAAATACTCATTAAAGCTAACAGCATATATTGGATCGAGCTCTCTCGTACTCCTGCAGGAGGCTAGAATTGTGGTTGTCGCTTGCTGTCCCAGTGATGAAGTACATTTCGAAGCAACTCTTTGTAAAAAGACACTGGATAGTATCCTCTTGACGACACATACAAAATATATGTTGGCGACATTACTTTAGACTGACACTACGTAGTAAACAACAGTATTCTGTATGCTCACTCTTCCTGGTGTCTTGAAGAAAAGTTTTTTTTACCTGACTGCCGTTCCCATTGGTCACTCCAGCAGCCGGCAACCCAAATCTTCTACAATCTACAGCCTCACCTAACAGTGATGATGAACAAACAAATAACATCTATCAAATGCAATCAAAATCGTGCACGATAAATACGCATCTGATTTCGCATCCGCCTACCAAACCCGAGGCCGATTCCGACACGGCTCACGATACATTTCATTAAACCGTTTCGTTGCCACCACCAGGTTGATTCACGACGTCATTCTGAAACAACACTTGTAAGGTGGGCATATTTGTGGATGTATTTGCCTACCTGCTTTGGTGTTCATAACCGGACATATCATACGATAGTTTTATGCCCGCTTAATTTTGCCAACCATCGCTAGCCCCCGGTGATGCTGCACCTATGTGTAAGACGTACGAGAGATGTTGTAAGAGTTGCATAATACGTTACGACATGCAGCACATGTCACCAGCGGTATATATATCTTCAACAGCTCTACTATATTCGAGCAGTTCCGTCATAACTAATGTTTTAGAAATTTATAAGCCTGTTTATGAATTTTATTAAGAATGTTTATAAAATGAGGTTTACTCTGCGACCGTTCGATCGCTCAAAACTGTCCAACGAACAGACACTGCTTGAACAAAACGAACCCACAAACTGTTGTTCGCTAAGCATCTCCGACGCCAACGAAATCAATGGGGGACAGGTCTGATCTACGATGCGTTCCTATCTTCCGTGGCTGATCCATCCTGCAGAACGAAAAACCGTTCACTTGGAGATATAGCCCAAGCTAAACGTGGCTATTTGGAGTTGTACTATTGCGAGCGGTTCCCCTACAGCTGGCGCTGCTGTTGCTTAACAGACAATTTGTATGTATCGCGTCGGCATAGGGCTGGCCCACGTCGACGTTTCATCTCACAGATGCTCACTGCGTCGGCGTCTGATCCAAAGAATCAATCTGTCTGACCGCTAGTCACGAACGAACGAAGATAGTACCGTCAACAACGTCGCTAGCTGTTCAATGGCTAGTAAGTACGACTGTTGTTTCTCCGTTGGAACCATGAAACTTTAAAGCCGCAAGCAAGATTGAGGTGCAACGTTAGGACAAGCGAACTCGGGAGGACAGGATCTGTAAGCAGGGCAACGCCGTTCTGCTCGTCTATCTATCTCGTAAGGTCTGGTCGTCGGGTGCGGCATCAGCTGCTCTTGGCCGTTCCGGTCAATCGCGTTAGGTGGCAACCGAATTGCGCTGAGCGATGCACTAAGCTGGCCATCGCAAGAAACAGTAATAACAACAAAAATAACATTATTGAAAACAATGGCCGCATTAGAGACCATGTCACATAGGTCTTGCCATGAATCGATAACGATTATAACATTTTATTGCGACAGGGTGTCATCAAGAATCATGCTGCTATCAAAGAAGTAACGTCAAGAACTGATGATAGGCGAAGGCGCCGCTGGCGCCCCAGGCCACCAGGGGGCGAACTTCACCGGCAGTGACTGTTGAGATCTGTCGTCATTCAATTATAGTACACAATAGTGCGTTTGCCGTGCAGCGTTGGTTCCGTAATTATCTGAGTCTTTGCGTGTTATGTGACGTATTTAGGACTGCGTACAATTGAGCTAGACGCGTTGAATTTTGAAAAGCAGCGAACGTAACAGTAATCGTCGCGGCAAAGTAATGGCGCTGCGAAGAGATTCATTACGGAAAACGGATCATAAATCTACCGTTTCGATTTGTTAGTTGGTGGCATTAGTTATTGTAATTCTATCAGGCGTAAACGTAAATTAAAGAGAGCAAATAAAATGAAGAAAGGCTTTGGTCAGTGGTTCGAGCATTCACATGACTGCAATGTTTTCTATACATTCTAGCAAAAACGAAAATCTTTGAATAAAGACAACTTCATGTTAGTTGGGTCACACAAAGGCGTGTGTTTACACAAGTTTGAATTGATAAAATGGTTAACTTCACGAGCCATCTCTGTATTTCAATTAGGACGCTTTATACAATATTGTGGTTAGGAAGCAGGTAGTATATGTATATGAATCTAGAAATCGTCACTCACAGTACGAACTACATACGTCTGTTGGCTATTCAGTTGTCTGTACAATTCTGAAGATAAGCCTATACCAAGCACAGGTTGTGCCATTTCTAAGGCGATTTTAGGTTGTCAAAGGTAACAACTTAGATGAAGACCCAACAAGAACAATTAACTCGTAGGTGGATTTCCGAACATGAATGATCTCTTGTTGAGGCAACGACGGACCCAAGCCAAATTTGCTTAACAGGTTCACTGACAAATAGGCGCAATAGAGCCTTTATCCAGCGCCAGCTCTATGCAAACGCAGCGATCAAAGCACAGTATAGCACACGGTCTCAAATCAACCATATAAAGAAAGTATCTTGAAACTCAATACGACCGCCTTCCACACGGATAAGCATCGATCCGAGTATGATCCACTTTGTTCTTGTCCACTGAAGTGTTAACGGAAAAGGTTCACGGCAAGTCCTGTCATATAATAACAATGGCCCCTGCAAGCAGTCAGAACCTGTGCGCGACCTTGTCGCTGGTTAGCTACGTCATTGTAACAGGCCTATCCGCTCATATACACTGGTTTTGTTGCCAATGTAATCGTTTCCCTGTCTTTCTCGCATCCTATACGGTCTTTCGCGTCTTCTCTTTCCCTTTTAGCAATTTGAATGCTCTTCTTCGAGCACGAACATCTCCGCTGCCAAAAGATCTGGCTAAGCATACGATCTGTGCTTGGTCAGTATAACATGCCCTCTTTACTACGGCCTAAGTCGAGACGCGGTCTGAGTATTGTAACACGCTTCAATGCCTCTAAAGGTTGTTGGCTGGGCGGTAGCCTAAACCAGGGCTGCTGCTGATGAAACCTAAAATTATCGTAGGCACAGCAAAAGCTGTTACCTAGCCCTCAAAGATGATACGAGAAAACAGAAACGAGTTTACTAAATTAGCCGTATAATTCAATACGTTCGTGTTTCAGTAAGCTCTTATCGAGACGCTAATGAAAATGTAAATAGGTCGTCTAACAACGGACAAGAATTAGCTACTAGGTCTTTAAGGGTTTTGGGTTTTGGCTTAAATATTTCCTTGTCGCTTTGGTGCCACGTCAGCGCTCGGTCCCTTGGGGCAGGTTTTTGATACCGCCAAATGAATAGAATAGAATGCGGCTAGCTGCTCTAAGCCATCGCCCATATTAGTCACTATAACGTTTATTACGGAAACAGCCGCCTCCCATGAGGCGCTTCGTGAACGCCTACTGTGCGTTCAGACCTGCGGAAGCCGGCCAGGCAGCCTACCCAGACCTACCCGTGTGTATCAAAAGCTTGCTTTGATCACGGGCTGATAGTCGGCGATGAACCGGCAGCAAGCAGCCACGGCGCAAGACACAACCCAGGAGTACCTCAACGATGCTGCGGGAAAGAGCACCCCCTTCGATGTACGGTTTCGTCTGCTGTCATGATTACTAGTACTGCTGTCATGGAAGGCCGCGCTAAGGGGCCGTCCACTACTGCAAAGGGACAAAGGCCCTGAAGGAGATTAACGGCAACTCGTCTGCAATATATAATAATATTTCCGTCATTCGATGCGTCGACTCAGCGCACTTATTCGATGTGGTACTTTTGTTTGTAGGCGTCGATGTGATATGCTGTATTTGGGCCGAGCGATAACGAATATCTGGCATAAGCAGGTAAATACGGGCATGTTGGTTACCTTTCTGCATTAATGGAAAAGCAAAGTTTCCGAAATTTATTTAGAAGCGCAGTCGCTGAATTGCACCGATCCTAACCGACAAGACTCGTTCGATAAAAACGCGATTGAGTTATTAAACATCTCACAAAAAAAAGTCTTGGTTCGTGCCATTTTTACGCTACTTTCATAACACGCCCTACATAATTAACCGAATCATTAGGTGTCTAACTAACGTACGTGGTACATAACATCGCGCACAAATTAATGAATTTTCTAATTTTCATGAGGAAGTTCAAGTTAGATAGCACGTTTACAGTGCACTCCCATACCTTGCTCCATCCAGATGCGATAGTTTCCGTTGGGCTCGGCGGAGGACTAGGCATAATGCCCTCAACGGAGCTATCCAAACCTCCATCGGTGCAGTCGGGGCCGTCAAGCGCCTCAAGCCCATCAACTGAATCTACGGATTGCGCCAAACGCTGACTAGAAAATTTCTTCCGCGTTCGCGGAGGTTTCCACGAGTGTTCACCCGTCACGTAATTGTAGTAGTACGGACGTCCTCCAGTTGACCGGTACTCGCCCCAATGGTCAGAGAGATATCTATAGGACGGCGGGTTGCAGACAAAAAATCAGAGAATAAGTGCAAATAACAATCAGAGCACAATGTAGAAAGGTTTATTTCTTCTAAGTACGTCCGTTGTGTAGTACTCGCCGGCGTTGAGTCGACAACGCTTACTAAGTTTCCCTGTCCGAAGTTTAACCGCACAAGTTATCGCGCCGTTATATAAAGTGTAGCGGAAACAACGGCTGCTTCAAATCGGCCACAATCTCTATACAGACAATGTTTACTTCTGTTAGAGTCAATTATTTACTACTGCACTCTTTGTTTGATTAACTATGTGACGTTATGACTCTGACACCCTTATTTCATACAAAATACAGGGTGGGCTACTAAGATTAGATTTACAGCAGTAGCAAAAGCTAAAGCGGACAATTAAGAACAATCATAGTACTTGTGAATAAAATATGCTTACAGCTATTCTCTTGCCTAATAGGAATTCTTATTTTTTCCTATCTTATTTGCCACTATGAGCCTTCTTCTTAGACCAGCCTGTGTACAATATTTTAAATACCGCATGTGAAACGTTTGAACGGCTTAATCATTCTCTTCGGCCTTTTCTGTGCCAACTCACCGGACGGGATCTTCGTTCGGAGACGGAAAAGGAGGTGTCGTAGCAAGTGCGAGATCAAGAGGGGCGCTAAGCTGTCCACCTTCGAGAAAGTTGCTGTGGACATGGGAGTGTTCACCACTTGACTGATGATGCTGTCCATGCGCATGAACGATCACTACGTCTCCTTGAGGCTGCTGGACGTTGGCGTAGATCGGCTGCGGCTGATGTCCCTCACTTCGAGGCCGAAGCGGAGCTGAATGCCCTCGCTGAATCGGCCCTGTACGGGGCGGTAGCTGCAACGGATTGGACGTGTTTGGTGTATTCGAGGACACGATAGAGAAGCGGAAGCCCGTGGGCGAATTTGACACCAGGTCGTCCTCATCACCTTCGTCGAGATCAGAACTAAAACGAGAAATAAAAAAGACGATTGATTATATATTGAATGTGCTAGAGCATACATGATATAGAATTCAATTAACTTGAAGGATTAACGCGCTCAGTCTTTAGTTCATTTGTAATAATCAATCAGTAATTCATGTGAGGAATGCATAACCAGTTAGTTGATTAAACTCTGTACAAGTATAGTCGTGCTATCGTTATTTATTGCTTTACGTTAAACTTGTTTAATTTGTTCCATAATTTAGCCGCGATAACTGCCAATTAAGCTAATCACAGCTATCCTGGTAATGTTCTTCTAGAAGAACTGAACTTTTAAAACCGTCCCTGTTTTTCTAAGACGTCCGAAATACAGTTGCCCTATCTTCACGGATTCTTTCGTGGATTCGATCTAAGACGTCGCTATTGAGATTTACCCGGACTTCAGTTGCAGATGCACAAGTGGCGACCGAAGTCGTGTCTACATACAACAAGCTCGCCTCTAAATTTCGGCTGCGTCTTCCTGTATTCTCGTCATTAATAGCGATCCTCTTCGTCACAAACGTGAGCACATACACTGAATTTTCAGTTCGAGTTCCATAAAAGTGCCACTATTTACCTCGAACCCAATACCTTTTCAAAAACATTCCAATAAACTTGTCATACTTTATCTCAAAAAACTGGCCCATTATTAGACAGTTGCTGCCTGCGCAGCACCCACCTCCTCCCATGGACTTGTTCCTCTATACAGTGTCTACCCTACAGGGAATACGTTCTACTTTCTTTACCAGTCGAAAGAGATCACGTTTATAATATTCTGACGAACGTAATGTAAACGATAAGATGCTACCGCCAAACGATCAAAGGCTTCTTGAATCAGATATACGTCACACGATTGACGCCCGCTGTCCACCAGTGATGACCGTCAATCACACTCCTGATTCCTGGCTATCCTAGTAAAAGAGGGCAAATTGGCCCAATTAGACTAGTACGTCTCTGTTTTTGTTTGTCTCATCTTTAACCTTTTCTCCATCGTCATCCTATTTTTGGATCGACGCTCCTGTTGGTCCGTTCGAGTTCACTTGAGCGCGTTCAGGTTTAGGTCGGCTTACCTTGAACAGACGCGGCCAATAATGTCGGGGTCTGTTCAGTCCCAAAGGATCTGTGTCTTGCCGGAAAGATTGGCGCACCGCGTACGCACGTAGCAACGTTGTTCATTAATACAAACCCGTCTGCCGCAGATAAACATATGTTCCAAAGCCTTGAAGTCAGAATTCTGATTTCGTCAACGTTAAGACGTCATCGATTCTTTATGAAGGTGTTGTTGCTGTTACTGGGGGAGATATTATTGCGAAATATGTCGACTACTATTTTTGGGTCTATGTAGTGAAAGCGCATCTAAAAAAAGTTCCTCAATATTAATAATAAGTAGTAACTTATAGTGTCAATATAGATAGGAGAAGTTTCTGTGATAGGTAACAACAAATGAAAATGACTCTTCAAGGTAAAGGGTCTTTTCAGACTGTATACAAAACAGAAATGATCAACTTACCCAGTTATCTCCACGTAAATAACATCAAATATGGTAAAAAAAGAAAAAAGAAAGACAACCTTACCAACTTATTTTTACATTTATCTACCAAAAAGGTTGTTTCACTTCTTCGGCAATGGGCAATTTTACAATGAAATGTCGATTTTAACCTCTGTCTCAAAACAAAAGATCATAACTTGCGAACTTTACCATCGGAGAATAGTCGTATTTTCCGATCAGAACGAGTAAAATGAAAGCAGATTCTTAACAGAAACGAATAGTTTTTTTATCGACTACCTCATATTTACTGATGACCAAGTACGATCTGAAGACTCATTCAAAGACAGAAAGCTTTTCATAAGTTTTTCATTTAGAATCAACAGCAAGGAAATTCGAGCATAGAATTTATAAATGATTGACAAATTCCCTATAAAATAAAATATTCTCAGGCTCTGCATCAATTACATTCCTACATACATACCCGGTTTGTTGATGTTCAATAAGAGAATCTTCATCGCTACGAGGTTCACTGCCGTCGTCTACAACTTCGCCCATCTTCTCTCGACGCTCCCGAAGAGCTTCATCAAGCGACATTCGGAAACGTCGCTCAAACGGGCCTCGCCCACCAGAACCGCATCCCGGAGCCATCCCAGGACTCGGCGAACTATCCACATCGATGTCGTCGCCATCAACGGGGTGCACCTTCAATGAATATAGCTTTTAAATTATACGGAACTGCATCCGTGTTTACACAGAGAACACAAGAAATTGTTGACCCATGGTTCGTTATCAGGCTTAATGCCGCAATGGCTGGAGTTGATAATTATCAAGCCACAAAGAAGTAGGTCATGTCCAAAATCGATCAGGAACTTCCTTATGGGATGAGAATGTGGGCTATGAAAAACATGCAAAACAGGCCATATTTAGGCACACATCAGATAGATTAGATAGAGAAATTAGTTAGCTCGATAATCACCAAATCGAAGCTGTCGAGTGCCCATGGACGTGAACGACGTGGACAGTATAGGAACGGCGTCCTAAATCCATTATTTGCATCCGCGCTTTTAAGACAGACGCTAGCCTACAGCCACAACAGTCTTCCGCGTAGTTGGTTTGCTCGGCAACGCCACAATACCATGGCGTAGAAACTTTGTGGTGAGACCCAATTCTCACCAAAAGCTCTCTCATTTAGAACGCAAAAAAAGACTAATTATCTAGAACCAATGCAACGAAACAATGTCTTACAAACTATATCAAACACATACTACAGACGCTAATAGCTCCACCATAGTGACAATAAAGATATAATCGGTTAAATTCACCCGGCTGTTCCATCGACGACGAAACCAACAATGTGCCCGATACAATATCATCTTTAACCCAATCAAGCAGGAGGACCCAGTTAGGGCAAAAAAGATGTCACAATAAGATGATTACTATGCACCAACGACACAACGTGAAAACAATGGAAGTTCACAGACGATACGCCGTTCCAAACGGGGAAAATAAGACACAACAACATTGTCATTTTCATACAGATAGGGATCGGGTGTTTGTGTATGATAGGAGAAGGAGATGCCACACCTCACAGCGGGTGATGGTCTAGATGAACAGCGGCAGAAGGACGACGCCAGCACTAACGAGAACTATGTTGCCATCGATAGAATAACTATGATAGCAAGGAAGGATCGTTCCATCTACGATTACGGAAGCTGCGCGACAGCCGTATCTTTCCGTCGGAAACAACAACGAGGTAGTTAACTTTTGAGGTAAGTTTGTCAGGATAATAAAAATGATTATAACGAAGAGTGTTATCCTAACTGTTGCTTGTTGTATTCATCGTTAATCCGTCGCTTATTTCGTTCGTTTGATGGCAGCGAAGCATGAATTGCTCACTGCAGCGGTAGTAATCATTGTCGCAATAGTAGTTCTATAGTGGTGCAATGCCAACGCCTATTGAATTGACGTCAGCATAATCTTGAGATACGTTACGTGGTCGAGATTCGAACCCGGGAGAAGGCTTACTTTTTTCGTACTCGAATTGGGTACCGGCCATTTGAAGCAATGCTAACGATGGCATTGTAATACTTTTTTCGTTTGTTCACTGTGACTAGTCAACTGAAGTATTAGTCAGATCTGGTGATGCTCTCGTGACCCCAAAAGATAAGATCTTCACTTTACAAACAAAGGAGAAAAGTGGAATTTCTACTGACTGTTTCAAAGTCCAACGCATCGAGCTCTTATCGTCGATGCCGATACCTTTCAACTACGAAGAGCCGATGAACTATCTATGCTCTGCGTCAAAAACAAGGGCTGTTCCCACATGTATAGACGAATCATATAATTATCAGGTGATTGCCATGAATAGATTAGCTGCGACATGTAGCATTTCATAACGGCCTACCGTTTTAGTATTGCTCATTTCTACTGAATTTCGCAAGCGCGAACAAAAGTTTGCATTTGTTTAGCGATACACTTGACGACCCCAATTTCCGAATCCTCTTTACTTATCTGAGGTTACATTTATAATGAGTACGCATTGATTTTTTACTAAGTGGAACAAAAAAAATTTCGTTAAGCCAAAGATGGAATTCAATTTAGTAAATCAAGCCGTACGAAACGAAGCAGCAGCCACCCTGGACGATTGTCATAGGTCTAAAGAGGTGACAATGAGAAACAGATTGACAAAGACGCATTGCTGCAGTGACGACAGACAACGGGATCCTTTTGTCTGCCTATCAATGCTATAGACGGCAAAATGAACAAAAATTATGTAATATCTGATAAATAATAATAATCCTATTATTATTATTATTATATCTAATAAGTAATGTAATTAGCTATAATAAACGAGGGTAGTTCATTCAGTTCACTAACTTTCATAGAAAAAAGTTAGTTTCTTTTATCAAAGCACTAGGTAGGACAAACGATTATTGTGAGCCTCGCAGATGTTGTCATAAGAACATCGCAATAGAAAATGTCGCTATTAGCCGATCTATCGATTTGTGGGTTTATCAAATATTTTTCAACAAAGGAAACTAACAGATAGCATTTACAATTAGTGATGGACGTTGCCTATAGAAGTGCTATTAGGAGATCAAGGGTATCTGTAATCTCTCTCCGTCTTATCGAGATTAACACCCAGGGCACCACTTTTTGTATGGCCTTAAAATACACTAGCTTAAAATGGTACCACTGGAAGCGGAATTTTGAAGAATTTTCGTGAAATTTGTATTGAAAATGTTCTTTTATGTTCGACGTTCGTACAGTATAAATTATACGCATTATATTTTCCTTTCGTTCTAGGTAGCTGACGCAGAAAATGATCGTCTCCATTTTACTCCTATCCACTTCGAGATAACCTCAAGCGGCTGACAGCCATAACCTAATTAAAGTAAGCAGAACAGTGGCTATTCAGAGCTGTTCAGAACCTATCGTTTCTAGTAGTGCAACTAACCTCTAGACTAGCTTGAGTAAACAGGCTGTTTGGTGGGCTGGAGTGCGAATGACGCACCCCCTGCGTCATCGACCCGGTCGTGCGATCTCGTCCCTTGGAAGAGTCCACCGGTCCAGCAGAACCTTGCGCGGAACCAACGGCAGAACTGGCGTTGCTGTTCCCTGCTTGGGTCTTGTTTGATGTACAGCTGGCGCTGTTTCCGCTAACGCTGCTTATGCTACCCGTGTTTATGCTGCTGCTGGTGCCTCTATTGCTTAATTTATTCCATAGTATCACATCACTTTGTTGGTGACTACTTTGGCCTTTTGCAGTTGAGGAAGAGACGCCTCCAGATCCATTTGCATTGGCTCCACCTGCAGATGCTGCGGTGTTGCAACTGCTGCTACTATTGGCACTAGAGCCAACCACCGCTGTCCCTCCAACCCCCCGCGTGCCTGATAGTCCACCTGCAGCTGTACCGGATGACGGTAACTTCGTCACCGTCGCAGCAGACAATACTGCTCCTCCTGCACTACTCGTTGTTGTGCTCGCGGACGATATAGAAATCGTCTGCTGCGTGCGAAGCGAACTTCGAGGTGGCGGCTGAGGCTGAGAGTGGTGGGATTGTTGTTGCTGATGATACTGATGACGCATTTGAGGAATCTGCGATCGCTGTGATGCTGGCGTAGTGTTGTGCTGTTGCTGGCTGTTGCTGCTGTTAAGCCGGTGCAGTTGCTGCGGGGTCGGCTGCGATTGAGGGTAGTCCCTCTCGAGGGGTTCGGGTGGGGTATCATCATCAAGCGTGTCCTTCGATCCCTTCGAATGATCACGCTCCTGCGAACTCTTCGACGACTCGAGAGAAGACGCTCTCCGCTCCAACGAATCTTGACGCGAATAGTCCAGCTGCAAGCAGCAGTAGTCGCGAGTCATCACAACGCCACACTGCATTGGAATAGAGTTGTGAAGGGGGCGGGGAATAGGGTTTTACCAGCCAACAAAAAAAATGACGCTGACACAACAACTAACGGTTCTTATCAACGTACAAATATTGGCAATGAGACTATGGAGATGTTTAGTACTTGCTTGTTTTTGGAGCGTACCTACGTAAGGGAATGGCAACACTTCGCTCTATCTAGATCGAACAATGTCCATTAAAAAGGGTGTCAACCTGGGAACCTGCATAAGCTGGGTTCGGAGAAAAATGATCTGCGATTAGCCGATCACGCGCAGATTCACCTTCGCGCTGCACTCAGTCGCTGACCCATTCTAGAATCTCCTACCACCGTAACTATTCAGGGTTACTTTTCTTTGGTCTGAGTACACTCGACCCACTGACAAGCAAGTGGTGTCTTTTTGAGGAATCACCAAAAATCGATTGAAAATGTGCACTGAGTATGCTTGCTCTCGCTTATAGTGTTATACATACGATATGACTTTGTTATCCAAGGTAGAATTTCCTACAACAAAACCTAGCAGTCACCGTTAATCACAGCAGCATAAAACACGCTTAAAGCAAAATTACTCCATACGTGATATTGTTATCGCTAATAGATCGTCTGTCTTCGTTGTTGGAGTATATTGCCTTAGCGTTTCATGCTCGATCCATGCGTAGCCAGTTAGTCACCTAATCAAGATTTCTTAACTAGCAGGAGGCAACAACTTGCCTCTTTCTGATGATTGGTTCTTGAATTCTAAATAAGTTTAGCGGGTCGTGTGCGTTCCGGGATTTTGACAACATGAACACAATCTGTACTTCTATTTTGGCATAAGGACCAAACGCCTTCGTAGCAAAGTAGCTTTGCCACCAAAATCTTTTCGGGCATCGCTGATAGTTTTATTTTTATCACCAGACTCTTTCTTTGTGCTAGCTTTAGGTTAAAATCGCAACGACAATACGGAACGGATAAATTTCAGGGGTTGCCACGAACCCTCTCACCGTCATCAAGTCGGTCCAACTCGACCTACTGCTGCGGTCACAGGCGATATCGTAGCGGTGCCATGAATGGATCTGATATTGCCGCGCTCGCCAAATACCAAAATCTTTTAGCTCAGTCACCAATTAACATGGGTAATGTTAGTAAAGATGACGCTCTATGTGTCATGTGGTAACTGTTGTTATAGCTAGTCTCGCCCATATGACGTGAAGAAGTTCAGGTTTTGTATTCATTTTATCTCAGTGTATTTTCCTCCACTGAGAAATTCTCAAATTGGCCAATAATTTCCACTGAGTCATGTAGAACTGCAGAAGTTAAAACTGTAAAAGTTTTATAAAGCCAAAAACGTCATTTGTTCTATTGTGGTCGTCGTGGGCGTCGTTGCGGCGGCAGTCTTGGATGCTTTCGTCGCCTTTGCCGACGGCGATTTGCGACACTGACCTCGTAACCGGTGTCATGTCAGCTAGTAACCAGGACAAGCGGGAGTCCATCGACATCGTGACTGGTAATCCGGTCTGTTTAAGAGACAAACGCTACCCTTTAATCGCCAATGTTGAGTGCTACTGCGAATCCTACAAAACGGACAGGTGATCTTGGCGAGGTCCTATATTAAGGCCGGGTACGAGTGAATATTGATGAGCCGAGACGCTTCCAAAATAGGAAAGAGAGAAGTCAAGCTGTTCAAGGGCGTTACCACGGGCTGAGCTCAAATGAATGACTGACTCGTTTCATCAATGTAAACATCGACATTACATCGCCGTTATAGGGGTCGTAATAGTTAAAATAACGCATGGCTTCTTTCAGTCGTTGACAGCATTTTATAGCGGCCCGTTGCTAGCGAAGTGTACTCAGCTGGCGTTAACAGGGATACATTGAGAGAAATAAGAGTTTGGTCGTCATGCGACGTTCGTGCATTGTGTAGCTATTGCCGCTAGTAGTCCCTGGACCATAGCTAAACGTACAGCGTCTCTATAGTTTACTTAGCAGGAGAAGTAAACTCAAAGCCAGTCTTCCTTCCTCTTGTTGGTTCTTCATCGGTTAGACAACGCAGAGCAAATATCTTCGTTTCATCATTCACTGCTCCTTCCGCGACCACCACAATCAGTAAGAATTTAACCACAGTTATCATCACACTACCAGCAATAGCTTAACACCAATTATGTGAGTATAGTACAAGCTCTTCTGTTATCCAATCTACAGGCAAGGAAGTATCAAGTAAAGCACTGATTTATCCAGTAGCGTATACAACGCGTTATGCTTCCTTTATGTGATGATAGACAGCAATATACGGCGGATGACGTTTGCTGATTTACATGATGTCGGATGCTGTTTCTTCCATTGGCGTATCGTTAAGCCAACGAGTAGGTCCTAAACGCGCGTCTGAGCCTAAGTAACTGTTCACTAGCGGTTATCCGCAGTACCTAACGGTATCGCCATGACTATCGTTTGTCAGTAATCGTGACAACAAAAAAACTTGCGTCCACTTAGCGCGGAGATACCAACGCGATGCGTACGTCGATCACGGTATACCCCGGATGCTATGCAGCGATACAGCGACCGGGACCTGATAAGGCTCCTTTCCGATGTTCCGTGTCCATTCCGTTAGTGCTTTACCCAGAGCGATGTTTGTGACATTATCACGCCGATACCTTTCGCGCTTTGTTACCACCTGTAGGTCAGTCTGGGAGGCCCGATAAGTCGACGCTTCGGGCGCGCTCCAGTCAGTCGGCTAGTCAGACAACAGACAGACAGGCGGACAAATAAACGCACGAATCGCCATAGGCGGCGTCGGCAAAGCACTGTGAAGCGCGTCAACGCCAGTAGTAACTGGCATTCGTTACGGGAGAGGCGGACTCACGAGAACTCGCCAGAACAGCCAACGACAGAAAGGGAGAGAAATTTGGATCTTGAATGGGCGAGAGGTATCAGGCTAAGGTTTCTGTGAGCAACTATCGTACCGCTGTATCCTGTAGTAGCTAGCAGCCGGACGGCTGTAGCCCAAAGTCGGAAGGAACTGGCTAGCTTCACAAGCAATAATCAGGGGCAGTTGATAATGCTACAGTAGGTCCGACTAGATTTTTGGTATAATTCGCTAAGGGAAGGGCTTCATGTGGTAAAATTCTCACTTTGGGTGGATTTTAGATGACGTAGAATAACTAGTAATGCAAAAGGACGGCAATCGGCTGTGCTAGAGGGGAAGGCATGCCAACAGAGATGGACGAGTTCGTATGTGTATTTACGATGTGATCGATGTAAAAGTGTATCAGACATGATAGCTCAGACACGCTGGCATTACGTAAAAGCATTTAAAGCTCCTGAAGTCTGAAAATCACACGGATATGATCGTATTTACACGGCGGCATGATTCAGCAAAATGCTACATTTAACGCCTGTCACAGTGTTTATATTAGATATAGACTAGTCGAAGAGAACGCCACATGACCAGATTTTATCCATAACTGCAAGCGGAACGGGGATGTACTATAATTTGTTGTGCAGTGAAGCAGAAAGAATTATCAGGTCTATTGGCAGAGGTAGGTTGCACTTGAGTTATCTGAATTATGCCTGATATAGACCAAAGGCTTAAACTACGTAGATCCACGAAGCTCTCAGCTGGATTTTTGCACCGTCGTCAGATCAGTCTGACAAGCGTATCAGCTTGTGATCACTAGAAAACCTGTTATCAACAGATCTATGAGAAGGAGAATGAAAATAATGGTAATAATAACTACCAGAACTAGGACAGAGATACATCGCCTTAACCCTTCTCTGTACAAACTTTGCCGAATTTTTTTAATGCATACTTGTTTGATTAGTGAAGCTCACTCCAATGGAGTCTCTGTTCATTGATTCTTGTTAATTTACTCGAAACAAACCGATTATATGCTGCTAGCGTGTTTTTTTTTTCTTATTTGTTCGCATAGTCACGGCCAATTTCATTATTGGCGCCCACTTTCTTGGGCAGCCCCATTGTCATAAACGTTATTTTAAGACCAAACGGCCAGATAGAGTTGGCGCATTAGCGAACGATCTGATTCAGTTGAAATATACTTTATTCAGACGTACCAGCCGTAAGGCCGTATCAGTCTGAAGTGACTGAGATCAACTAAAAGCTAAATGATAGATTCGTATAACAAAACTAGAACATTAAGGATAACGCACCACTTCTAAGACTACACGTGCCAGGGACCGTTCGGAAAATAGATGAGGTTGGAATAACGTTGCTGCTTAAAAACAGGCAGTCGTCAAGCAGTTGCCCTGGGCCGTCGTAACGCTGGGCGTTAGGAAATCGAATATTGTATTGCGAGACATTTTCCAGCGACCTGATCTTGCCGACTCACCACCATCCGATTGTTGGCCAAACGCAGCTATTCGCACAGTTATGTCATCTTGGCTGAATCCAGACATTGTAACCAGGCATCGGCATGGCCAACTGTTTCGCGACAAAAAAAACACGAGCATTTATCGTAAAAACAACGTTAGGTGTCAAATCAGGTGGGGCGCGAAAAGAATTTACAACGAAAAGGTAAACAAAACATTGACGGATGCTCATTTGTTTGCGATAATACCATCCCTTTCTGGGCCGGTACAACCAACGAATCCAGGCTGCGGCCGCTAGCATAAAGCCGTAGACAGCCGTATCGGGCCTTTGCAAGTGCTCCGTGCCCGTTCACATGATATGATCTAACTACAGTTAAACAAATACTCGTCGTAACCGAGCAATCCGGCGAGGCTAAATTATCCATTGCGTATAGTTAATTTAGAAAGAAATTTCGTTATTGCAAGCAGTAGCAATATTGTATCATGATACGCCAGCTGAGCGACCAACAAATACGGCACAATGCGACGACCTACTAACTATCGACAGTCGAAGCCATACTTGCAGACTCAATAATAAATCGAGCCGTAAAAGAGCTATCAGACACTGGAACAAACTCATTTTCCATCTTTCCTTTGTGGAATCAACCA